CATCAAACGTGATTGGTGGAAAAGCAGGAAGTAACCAAAAAAAAAAAAAAAAAAATTATTAAAAAAAAAAGCCATGTTTCACAATGATACAATAAGCTCAGAAGATATGCCTTGCCAGCAGGCATTCTTCTCCAAAGTACCAGCAATTTCCCTTCCTTTGTAACTCCACAACAGCTCTTTGCCTAAAAACCACCTTAATGCACCTAAAGATACTCCTTGTTCCTGCCAACACTCTCAAAAAAAAAAAAAAAAAAATTATTAAAAAAAAAAGCCATGTTTCACAATGATACAATAAGCTCAGAAGATATGCCTTGCCAGCAGGCATTCTTCTCCAAAGTACCAGCAATTTCCCTTCCTTTGTAACTCCACAACAGCTCTTTGCCTAAAAACCACCTTAATGCACCTAAAGATACTCCTTGTTCCTGCCAACACTCTCAAAAAGAGTTCTGCGTTTCCCCGCTCTGAACAAGACTATCCTAGCATGATGTGAAGTTTAATTTCCTTCAACTGCCTCGCTTGCGCCCAACACGCTCTATTCAGAGGTTCCCAAATCCTTTGCAATCAGGCTCCGCTTCCAGAAGCTTTACTCACTGGGGGAATGCATAAGCTGCCTTTTGAACCTGAACTTGATACGGTGACCTAGAGGAAAATAAAAGGCAGTAGCATCTCCTAATTCCCTAAAGCACTTTGGCTTCATATTGTGGCTACTGACAGTCAAGATTTGTACTGTACCTTGATGAGCAATCCTATTTCTATCTTCTCTTGTAGGTAGGACTTTTCTTAGGGCTTGATCACAGCACGTATTGCTTTTTCCAACCCCCAAAATACCCACTGTATTCCACAGATTCAGTTCGAAGCACGCTTAAAGTCTACGAAGAGGCCTGATTCCGTACGATATCCGCCTGATTCCGTACGATATCCCCAAATTGCCACCTGGCAGTCCCAGGCTCTCCAGCCATCCACCGTAAGTTACAGATACCAAGCACGCACATACGCAGAACCGGCCTCGAACAAAAGCTCTACCCAGCTATGCAGGGGCCGACAGCCATTACGCTGCACCCTTCAACCGCTGTGAACGAAGCCTCTCATGGAGAGAGGCTAGGCTTTTAAGCACCCCGTAATTCTCAGATTATAAACGCTTTCTTAAACACGGGCTGTCACAGTGAAAGTGTCTATTTAACTATCGCTAAACAGAGGGCCGGATCAGAGGAGAAACCATCGAGAACCTCAGCAAGGCCGTGGGGTTTCACATCAACGCTAGCTGACAGGAAGCAAGCGAGATAACGAGAAGAGAGAGGGAGAAGTAGGAAGAGAGAAAAAAAAATTATAAGCATTCTAAAAAAACTATGATATCATCCATGTAGAGAGACAGCAAACTAGGAAGTAAAAATCTGAGTATACAGGTAGTCACACAAGCTCCAACATTCATATTTTCGCCTTGATGTTCTGGCCAGGGAGGGCTCTGATCAAGTTTAGGCAGCAGTACAAAGATCATTATACCACAGGCAGAACATAACACTTTGTTCAACCTACATGGGGAACTTTAAACAAGCAGAAAGCAGAGTAATTACCCAACCAGCCCAAAATCTGGGATTGCTAATTTCAATTCTGGAAAGAACAAACAAACAAACAAACAAAAATTTGGATTTTCGCTCTGTTTGGGATGCTCAGCAAGAGTAAACAGCCAGAACCACTACCAAGAGAGGACATCTCCTGCTCACTAGTATTGTTATGAGGCTTTTCTCCAACACGGACTCGAAGAGAAGAATGTGAAGACTGAGTCACCAGCCACAAAAAGGAAAATGACTTTAAACATCCAGATCCAATTATGGATTATACTGTTCTTTCATCTTAACGCAACCGATGATTTGTTAAAAAAAAAAAAAAAAAAAAAAAAAATGAGTGTACCGATGCTGGAAACATTTCAAAGAGAATGTTTCTAGCCTCCTCCCATCAGGATCTCTGATGTGAAGCTCAGTTGAAGCTTACAGTTTTGCATTATCAGTCAAGTGGAAGTAGCCCACTTACTATTTTGTAAGAAACCGGGAGGCTTACAACCTAACGATACTGAGAAGAATTGATGGATATAGCAAACAACGACAAGCGCCGTAAGTGAAATGGAGACACAGCGTTATGGCAAAGAACAGGTTTTGATGCACGCACATAATGGAGATGAAACCAAAATTTGCAAATAACTTCTTGCAGAGTATTCCAATGCTTTTTGGCATTACATCCTATAATGGCCTCTACAGGCTTGCCTTGTGCTTACACGCTTAACCTTGTGCAACAAAATGCCAAGAGGAAAAACAAACTTATCAGCGTCCTCCTGCAACCTGTGAACGTAATACGTAAGGAGAAAGGGTGTTAAGCAATCAGGATTTTTGCTTTGGATCAGAAGGCACAGAGCTGAGAGCAGGAAGTAGGCAGACATCCTTTGACCTTGGTTGGGCAAGGAAGCTTGATTCGAGAAGACAACGGAGAAGCGGGTGAATGGATGGTCAGAGGAAGGTGCAAGGTCCCTTAACAGTTTAAGATATTTGCAACTGCCTTTTAGACAAGGTGAAGGGGAAGTCTATTTGCAGGGAAGCCAATGAGGATGAGGTTACCACAATCAAGATGGAAGGCAAGCACCTGAAGGGACAGCCCTACCTTTCTAGAGAGGTATGACAGCGGAGCGGGGGAAAATTATAGGACTTCCATTTACTAATCCTTTCCTACCATTTGCCAATTAGGACAGCATTGTGAACAGAGCTAAAAACAATAAACTAATAAAATTGTTAGCATCTGTAACAGCAGAAGACAGTACAGTCAACACGCTACGTGCCACCTGAATAGATTGCAGCACATTCATGATCACTCGAGCCTGGGCGGTATGGTGAAGAAGCATCTCCACTATTACAACTGTTTATTTCACCATCAGGCAATCACCACCTTCAAACAGACTGTGTCTTCAGTTCTCTCCCTTTAATAGTGTTCTACTGACTAAACCCACATAAATATGGAGTAATTTCACTAACATCAACAGAATCACATCAGCCTGAGAGAGAGCAGTGCGTAAGAGCTACTTATACAGTGAAATATTTACCTTCTTTACTTCCCAGCTCAGTTATGTTTACCCCAAAGCAATAGCCTACTTCCAGATTTACTACATTGCAAACTGTGAACTACCAACAGCTTGTCAATTCTAAATTCCCCTCTCCAGCAATAATCACTCAACATTTGTTGCAGTTTACTCTGCTTTTGCTCTATTACCTAAGACTTGGTAAACTTAGAGGAAATGCCATCAAGTACAATTGTATTTTAGATATTCCTAACATCCTGCTGA